AGCTAAAGCCACTGCAGCTCGAATTCGATCCCAGCCAGGGAGGTGACCCACATGGCGTGGCAGAATCCTGCTGTCATGCCCCTGCTTCCGCAGCAGTGTACTTCAGTCAGTCTGCCTGTTCTGTTCCCCACTGTGTCTCTAGTGAATCCTCTCATCCGCTGCACCTCTGGCCTGCACCCCAGTTCTTGTATGCACAAAATAAAGTAATTTTTTTTATTAAAAAGTTTATTTTTACATCATTTTGCACATTTTTTTTCATCTCAATAAAATAAAGTAATTTTTAAAGATTTTATTTATTTATGCATACAGAACTGGGGTACAGGCCAGAGGTGCAGGGCAGGAAAGGATTCACCAGAAACAGGGTGGGAGCAGAACAGGCAGATGGACGAAGTACACTGCTGAGGAGAGCAGCGGGCAGGCCAGGAGAGGTCTGCTGTGCCATGTGGATCATCTCCAGGACAGAGATTGAACTCCCACTGAAGCAGTCACACCTTGGCTTGGCTTTGCTGTGCAGCGCTCCAACCCTCTACACCACCAGGGAGGACCCAAAATAAAATAAATCTTAAAAAAAACAAAGACAGATAATACTGTAGGTTTCTAACCAACATTGGCTCCTTGCCACCCTCTCCACCCCCAACCTGCATGCCTTTCAAAGCTCTCAAAGATGTCCTTGACTTGGTTTCCCATTACCATTCTTTTGCCAAAATTGTCAGTTTACAGTCACCTGAACATGGCCTGGGTTTTTCTGGCTTAGTGCTGTCATTTTCATTATCCTCCTGTCCTGGAACTACCTCCCTGTGCTCTCTGTTCATCTAAATGTCCTGTCTTATCCCAACTTAAAGACACACTGAGACTCAACTGCTGGAGTCCATAGTCGTGTGTACTATTTTTGAACTCCCAACCATAGGTCCCCACAAACTACTCATCTTGTGCTTTATGGCACCCCTTGAGATATAGCTGAATTCTCATTTAGCTTTGTTTATAGAATCCACAATCCCTTACCTGAAACATTGGGCCAGATGTGCTGAGACTTAGACTTTTTATTATATATATATATCTATATATATATATATATATATACACACACACACACACACACATATATACATATATATGTATATACACACATATGTATATGTCTATATCATATGCCTATGGTGGTCTTAGAAATCTCTCCATAATCAAGCACTTTCTTATTTTTATAATAAACTGTGATTTTTTTTTTAATACTAAGTGGATAAAGATCACCAAATAACCACATCAGTTGAAGGTCAGGTTTTGCCACCACTTTAGTTACTACCCCCCCCCAAAAGCAGTATTTTAAGAGCTTTGTGGATTTCAGGATATTAGAAAGTGATGGTGGATTAGTTTGCTTAATCATAGCTCCTTGAGGCTGAGTCCCGCATCCTCCTGGTCTCCAAATTACAGATCTACCATGATTACTACTGCCACAGAGTAGATGCCCTGTTATTCCTTACTGAATGACGAATTCTGAGCCTTACCACTGGGTATCTGGGGAAGTAGGTGGAGACAGGCATAGGTTATGGGGCCTAACCCCAAAGGAACCCTTGAATCTGACTGTGGTTTCTAAGGATTTTTTCCCCTACAAGTGGAGGACAGCTAAAACAAAGCAAACTGGTTACCTATTCAGGTAGTGAGGAATAAAGACAGAGGCCCAAATATCTGAGCAGGCTGCGACTCTACAGTTCTCCAAGGATGAGCTTACCTCCCTGAGGCCCCAGAAGAGCCAACAGTTGACTAGAGGCAGCTTCCTATTTGCTGGAAATTCACTTTATTTCTCCTTTTGTTCCAACCCTTTGGCTCTTCCTCAAATAGGACTTCTCATTCCATTCCTACAGAAAAATTTCTTGGGGTGTGGACTGGGGGCGGCGATGACATTCACTGTTCTACAAGCACTGGCCACAGGTGCAGCGAAGTGCAGCTGAAGGAAACCAGCTGTGAGTCACTAATTTGCCATGTGAGATGAGCCCATACAGTTCTCTAAGCCTCTGTTTTCCTCTCTGTTGCTCTGTAACTGTGACCAAAATGAAGGGCAAGTGTTTCTTCAAATTGTGTTTCAGATGTAAGGCAGGTTTAGTGACACTGGTGAGTCCAGCAACCTGTCCTCCACAGATAGTAGTTCCCTGCCTGGAGAGCTCTACCTATCCTTTGAGCCCAAGTTAAAATGTCTCCTCCTCTGTGAAATTCGAGAACTACCTATTAATCAGCCTGCCTTATGCAAGGCACAAGACAGACACTTCATTAATTCTCATGGCAGCCCCATGTAGGAAGTTGCATTAGGATTTCCACTTAATAGTTGAAACTGAATCACCAAGTGGTGAAGGGACTAGCCCAAGGCCACACAGTTTATAAGTAGCAGAGCCAGGAATATAATACAAAATAAATTATTTTCCACTTCTGTAACACTTTATTTGCACCTCACCTGTGTTCCTTAACCCATGGACTGTGTCTTGTTCACTAGGCTCTGAGCTCCTAGAGGTAGGGGCCATGTTCTTACTGATCTGACAAAAATACTTGGTGAATGTTAGAAAAGTGATTGAACTGAAGTGGAATGGAATATAGTGGAAGGAAAGGGGAGGAAACTGATTAAGTACTGGCTGACATGGGATTTCCAGTCCCAGCATGCCAGTCTTTCTAGTCAGTTCTATTAAGCTTTAGGCCACCTGTTCTGGTCACTGCCATCAGAGTGTTATTTGAGAGCATCAGGAATAGCAAGTGTCTTTACTGCCCATCTTCAGATAAAAACTGCAATCGGAGTTCAAGAGCCACTCAGTAGCCGTCTTTGGAAACTGAGGAACTGGTCAATAAAAGGATTTATTTTTCCATGTAGGAAGCTGCCTTCAGGGCCCTCCTTGGTGGTGCAGCTGGTTAAGGTGCAGCACTGTGAAGCTAGTTAGGCCACTTCTGTGAGAGTTCAATCCCCCCCAGGAGGTGATCCCATGGCGCGGCAGAGCTCTCCTGTCTCGCCTGCTGCTCCCCTCAGCAGTGTACTTTGTTGATCTGCCTGTCCTGCTTCCCACTCTGGTGAATCCTCTCACTCCCCTGCACCTCTGGCCTGTACCCCAGTTCTTTATGCATAAATAAATAAATCTTAAAAAAAAGAAGTTGCCTTCAACTTTCTATCTCCCCTGAGACCTACAGTGACATAAGCATAGACTATTTGGGGAATTCTTTCTAAAAAAATAAAGAAATAAAAGTTGTGGCACATATTGGAGAGGGAGATGTAGTCGACTGTGAATCTCTTTTGACATAAAGCAAATCATGATAGGATTTTCCAGCTCAAATTGGGTTAGAGCTGCTCAAAAGTTAAATGTTTTTAAAAATAGAAATGCAAGCCACTAGAATAATAGCTAATATTTACTGAGTAGTTACTGTGTGCAAGGCACGATGTAGAGTTCTGTGAAAGTATCATCCTTATACAAACCCTAAAAGATAGCCCCGATTTTCCAGATAAGGAAACTGAAGTTTTGAGAGGTTGATTTTCTTCCAGGTTGTATTGGCTGCGAGTGGACGAGTTGGGGTTAGAAGCCAGGCTAGTCAGATAGTCAGGTTTTAATCAATAGTCTTCATGACAACACATTTGAATGACATCTAATATAAGACCAGGTGGGAGGCAGAGTTGAATTGTTGAATGAGGAGGGTGTTCTTGGGAAAGCCTTGAATGGTTTGGATGTGCCTTAGGCACCTCAACTTCTGTTTCCCAAGAGGGCTTGCTGACAGAGAGGCCCTGCAGAATGTGTCCTCTTTTTCGGGTCTCTGACAAACCACCCAGTCCTCCACATTGTTCCACAAGCTTCTTCCCAGCCCTTGGGTCTGTTAGATTTCCAAGTTGAGGTAGAAGGTTGTGGGACCTTGGACTGAAATAGATGCTCTTGTGGACCAAGGTAAGGCTGCAGATGGAAACCAGATCATTAGCGGGCTACAGAGAAATGTAACTACATCGCTGAACTTGTGTTTAAGATTTATTGCTCAACTCACCACTTTTTACTTCTTCCATTTTCATCCCGACAACAGCCATCAGTTAGGGATCCTTTTCAGCCAAGACTGATAGACTCAGTCCACTAAGAGCTGAACAGAGAGGAAAGTCAGAGCTGCTGCACTGAGCCTTCAGCCCAGCCACTTAGATAGGGAAATTGTTTTTCAGGGTTTTACACTGCCATTTCTGCTCACCCTTTAATGAATGCTTTCTGTCCATAAATGAAGCAGAGATGGAAGAAGAGGTGAATAAGTGCTAACATAAATTGCAGTGGGTCAACCACAAATACAGGCTTTCAAAAAATTCTGTTTTATAAAGGCTAGGTTAAGGTGCTTGCTGATTTCTAAAGCATTTCCTGGGTTTGATTAGTATGTCAGATGCATCAAAAATTGCTATTGAAAACCTTTATTTTGTAGCCTGTGTTTCAGAGTGGAAGGTCTCTTTACAAAAATAAATAAATAAATAAATAATAATAAACATCAGACTATAACGTGTGCTTTTTGCTTTTTACCATTGTATGTTTCTTAATGACTCACCAGTCACATGCTAATAATAATAAACATCAGGCTATAACGTGTGCTTTTTACCATTGTATGTTTCTTAATGACTCACCAGTCACATGCTAATAATAATAAACATCAGGCTATAACGTGTGCTTTTTACCATTGTATGTTTCTTAATGACTCACCAGTCACATGCTAGGTAATGGATATTGAAAATGAAATAATCAGCTCTGACAAGCTATGGTTGACCTTTACTTTTCGTTTCTGGGTACACGCAGTACATTTTAGTTGTGATTCATAGCTACAAGGAAAAATTGGCAAATTGTGAGAGAAATACTTTTATTGTACATTCTGTATTTGTGTAAATAACAACTGTTTGTGGCATTAGCATGTCTACCCCAATTATTTCCATTATTCTGACTTGGACCCAGCAATCGGAGTGATTGTGTGGTTAGGCTGACAGCCTTCCCACATACCATGTATGCCATGTTGCTTTGCAGCTCGGCTTTGGATCATTCCTCGGAATCATTGGATCAAACCTTATTGAGAACAAGCGGCAGATGGTAAGTTTTCATTGCTATAGAATCGAGTTCTTTGTCTGCAAAAGCTTAACATTTATATGGAAAAGTAACTACATCTCTTAAAGCTACCCAGCTTGGAACGCAAAAGCAACTACCACTCCGCCTTTCCTTCCAAGGTAACTTGTTTTACAGTGACATTCTGGCATGGAATTTGTTCTCATCTTGCCTGATGCTCTCTCAGTGGCCTAGCCAGGCTCCTTTAGTCCTGGGGCCAGAATATTCTGGGCCCTGCCCTTGCTTTCCTCCTCATTCCCAAAGGAGTGGTCTGGCCTTTCCAGTCAGGCATTATCCTACAGTGCCATTGCTTTTGTGACTAATGTTGTCCCTGGATTATGGGTTACCACCATATATTCCTCTTTGATGCATAACATTTGAGGGCAAGTTTTCACAGAGGCTTCTTGCCCTTTAGGAGATTGAAATCTAGGGAATTTTGGTTAAGTGAACCCATGTACTTGATCATACAGAAGAAAAAATAAAATGATGAAGCCAACCTAAAGTGTTTCTATTTCCCATATCTCAAAGGTAAGTGTGTTGTAAAGTTGAGAGGATAGACGAGCACACAACAGAAGATAAAACTTAGAAAGTTTTACATCTTCGTGGGGACCCACAAGGGCAAGCTGTTGTATTTTCCTGTTTCAGCCTGAGAACACTTCCTAGAAGGCAAGGGAAGTAGGAACAGGCCAAATTGCAGGCATATTGCAGCTTTGTAGGCTTGTAAATCAAGGTGCCTGGTGAGTGTCAATGGTGCACTGATGAGACTCTCCCAGCACAAGTCTCTGTGGCATCTAGACTTTGATAATGGGGTCTGTTTAATCAGATAACACAATATCTCCAATGACAGCATTCCAACCATATGTTTTCACCCAGCAATGCTGGGGAATCATCCTCAGGGGACCCCTAATAGTTCTCTTCTTCCATTTCACCTGTACTACCACCCTGCCAGTTATATTACACGTTGGGCTTCAATTATTCAGAATAACGGGGGCGTTTTAATTGTAGAGCTGATCACAGCATAGTTGATAATGCCAATTTCTGACATCGTTCATCCATTATTTACCAATTCTCTGTAGTGCTATGAAGTGAAATTTATGGGGAGAGGTTTCTGAACAACTGAACGCTCCTTAGGGTGACCTTGACTTGGATTCCCTCCTTCTCCCTGGAGAGCAACTTAATGCCATGCTAGTTTCCCCTTTTCTTCTCCCAGGCGCCTTAAAGAAGAAAAACAATTAGGTTATTTTGAGGTTCTGAGGGTCAGCATGGGCAGATGCTCGGGCTTGGGCACTACCTATCCCTGTCCCTAGGGACACCTTGAAAGACTGGGCTGTTGTAGCACCTTGTAATGGAAAAGAAATTATTAGGAAAAAAAAATCTGTTATCTGATATGATCAGAGAATAGGACAATCTGAGGCAAGCAAACATTTTTCTTACTTGAAAATTTTTCACAGGCACTGCAGAGTTACCAGTTTCATCTCTTGTAAAACATCATTGACATTTAAATCTTAGTAAGTTGCATGTCTTTTCCTCAATGATGCAGAAGGCTATGGACTATTGCCTTCTGCATCACTGCCCACTTCATCAATGCCCATGACACCATCAAGTACTAGGAGTTGGGGAGAACTTTGACCGAGCACTTGGTGGGCACCAGGCTCATTTCCCCGCACTGATCCCCTGATTCTCAAATAAATAAAGTTTGAACAACAGGATGTCAGAAGTCCAACATTTTTCTAGAATGTAAGAACCACAGTCAAATTCTTCCATGAACAGCATGCCGGAGACCGGCAAGTCTCTTCTTCACTGGGTGCTCAAAGATTCAGAGAATTTCTTAACTTACCTGGAAATTGGAAAAGCATTTCTGTGGTTCCTCCTCTGCCTCCCTCTGCCATCCTCCCCCACCACTCCCACCCATTCTGTAGGACTAGAAAGACTGAAAAGAGCATCCTCCAGGTGAGAGAGCCCAGAGGTCTGCTTTGGCTGGCAGCCCCTTGGGGCTTGCCTGGGCTCCAGAAGCAGCAAGTGTGAAGGCTAACAGACATTTTGTTCCATTGCAGCTGGTGGCTTCTATCGTCTTTATCAGCTTTGGTGTGATTGCGGCCTTTTGTTGTGCTATAGTGGACGGAGTCTTTGCTGCCAGACACATTGTGAGTAATTTTTGTCCTGGGTGAATGTAAATAGGCAGTGCAACACATTGTGCAGGATGTGTCGTGAGGGGTACAGAAGGGGGAGAAGACCGGATCCTTTCCCCAAGGAGCTGACAGTCAATATAAGGCCACTTGTGGAACACAGGCTTCTACACAGGGATATCTGAGTGGCTTATCTTGGACCCCAGAGCTCGGGGAAGGCTTCCCAGTGGTGGTGGGGCTGGAGGTAGGCTTTGACTTATGGATAAAATTTGGAAAGGCAGAAGTAGGAACACTGACGCCTGGGGAAAGGCTTGGAATTGGAGTTGGGAGTGAGAAAGTGGAAAGAGAAAGTAGGAAGCCATATGACTTCCTGAATGTTTTGGCGGTTTCAAGAGCTGACCCCTCTCCACTTCATCAGGAACAAGTGCAGACCATGAGGACATAGTTCTGTTTTCTCAGCTACCACAGTCGTCCCCACGACAGTGTCTAAAGAACAGCGATAAGGTTGGGGGCCATTGCAAGCCCTGGAGCTAGCAGCACCCACTCAGCCCAGTCCTTTAGCTAAGATGCTTCCTGCTCTGGAGAAGCTGTGCTTTGAGAAAGGACCATTTTCACCTGAAGCTCAAACCTGGCTCCTGCCCTGGGGAAGTGTGGGGCTCAGGGGGCCCAAGTGGCTTTGAAAGGATCCTTCACTTCACTTCCCACACTTCCTGTTTCATACTGCTCCAGGCCACTGGCCCTCATGGGGCACAGTCGGCATGCAGACCCATCGTAGGTTCAGGGTTCCATCATCATAATATCATTTCTTTTCAAATCAGAAGTAAAACTCTGAACTCTCAGGTTGAAAAAATAAATTTAACCATACCATATTAGTGTGTATGTCTTTGTATGCCAATGGAATCATGAGATCTAATTAAAATGCATAAAATAATAGTTCCAAGATTTTCTAATCCAGGAAGGGGGTCCCAAAAGGCACAAGTGATTAACTCCCCAACGAAGTCATAATGTTGTCCTGTTGTGACCCAAAAACCACACTACAGAGTGGGTCACAGTGGCTTACTGAGCCCCACCACAAGGTTGAAAGTTCATTTCCCCCCACCACCAAACTGATGTCGAAAATGAAAAAAAAAAAAAAATCCCATGAACTAGTTGGAAATTGTTTTCTAAAACAATTGAATTTGACCAAAATTGTACTATTAGACTATTTTGTGGCTCAAGTGCTGTTACTCTACTTCAGTCATTAGCTCACAGTCATTGGTACTGAAGGAAGTGTCATGGGTGTGTCTGGGAGGGAGGAGGGATGATGTTCATCTCATTTCACTTCCAACTTGCTGTGGGATCCTCCTGCCAGGTGCAAACATCAGCCTCAAGCATTTGCCCAGATTAGAGGAATATGAGGTGCTCAGAGGAATGCACATGGTCAGCACGGCCACCTGGGCAGTCTCTGAAATGGCGTCTCAGTAGGTTGTTTCTGAGCAGGGGTGAAAATGAGGGGTGGGAGAGAGAGGGACCCTTTTTCCAGTGTTCTTTCAAGGCCAGACATACAAATGTCTGTATATCAGACATCACCCTGCTGATTCCAGCAGCTATCTTTTCCTTCCTAAAACAGCAAATAACACATAAAGAAGTGTTTATATCCACAATCCTACCATCCTATCTAATATAGCAGTTTTCATCAGTTTTGCATATAACCCTCAAGTATATACATATTTCTGTAGCATGTTTGTAATCAGCTAGAGGATGTATGCTCTTTTGTATTCAACAGGAGCCATCTTAATAACAATAATTCCTTGTTTTTGTGTAGGGCATGTAGTTTTCAGTGTACCTTCACATCTGTTATCTCATTTGAGACCCACAGCAATCCTATGAGATATGTAGGGCAGGCATTATTATCCCCATTTGACAATCAGTATTCACTCTGAGGCGGTCTCCATGGCAACCCCTGGCCTAGTGGTCAAGAAGCCTACAGTAGATTTTGATGGTATCGTGAGCTAAAATGACTCTTTTCTTTCCCTCCTCCTCTTGCTCCTAATCTTATTTTTAAAAATAGCTTTATTGAGATGTAATTCACATCTCACACAATTCACCTATTTGAGGTTTACACTTCAAGGCTTAGTATATTCAATTATGTGCAAACTATCACCTTGTCTACTTCATTTGATTTTCATCATCCTCCAAAGAAGCCTCATCCCCACTAGCTACCACTTCCTATCCTCCTGATTCCTCCCATGCCTAGGCAACTTTCAATCTATGTGCTTCCTTCATAGATTTCCCCTGTATCATTAACATTTCATTTAATTGCATCATATAATAGGTGATCTTTATGACCTGACTTCTGTCACTATGTTTTCCAGCTATCCATGATGTAGTATGTTTCTGTTTATAGCCTAATAATATTCCACTTGTATATAAATCACATTGTTGTGCTCATTCACCAGGTGATGGATGTTTGGGTTGTTTTCACCATTTGGGTATTATAATAAAAATAATTCTGTTACAGACCTTTGTGAACAAGTTTTTATGTGGACATATGTTTCCATTTTCCTTGGTCATATACCTAGGAGTAGAATTACTGGTTCACATGGTGACTACATTTAACCTTTGATAAACTCCCAGACAGTTTTCCAAAATGCCTATTCCATTTTACATTCCCACTGGAAATGTATGTATTCTACTTTCTCCACATTCTTGTCAACTGTTTTAATTACCTGATGTTTAAATTCTAGGGATCCTGGTGGTTATCTCATTGTGTTCTTTATTTCTCATGACAGTTTCATTTACATTTCACTGACTCTCTTAATGTTTTTGATGACTGGCTTCAGTCAAAGACAATGGGGAAAATCTAAATTATACTTCTGAGAGTTTCCTTTAACGATAACTTATCTGCTTCTGTCTGATTCTGATCATCTATACTCTCTGTGGTCAATAATCTGCAGTAGAGTATTTAACTCAGGGATTTGGAGTCAAGTTGAATGGATCTTTATGAAAACCTTTCTGTTTTTACTGTACCTGCTCTAAGACATTTGCCAGTCCTCATTGATACACAGGGAGTTTTGAAGAAGGAGGCTTTACTAATCTATAGCAGTGTATGTTGGCCAGTTTAAATGAAAGGCACATTTGGGTGTACCACTTGGGTTAGCTTAGTGCCAGACTTTCTGGTTTTTTTAAAAAATATATTTAAAAAACATATATATGTATGTGTATATATATATATATATGTGTGTGTGTGTGTGTGTGTGTGTGTGTGTGTGTATATGCACTGTTGTTCATTTTTATACAATGCTTAATTTATCCTCTCAAGTATAATAGCCATAGTTTCCACCACTGAGTCACCTGTGAATCATCACCAAAGTCCCTTGTCATCCCTCCCCTGTCTTGATACCTCTCCCTTCTCCTCCCCTACTGTATATCTCTGGTTTATAATTTGTCTGCTAGTTTTGTCTTCCCCCCGACCCCTTGTTTAGCTTCCCTTTATACCTCCTATAAGTGAAACCATCTGATATTTTTCTTCTTCTGACTTCTTTCACTGAGCATAATGCCTTCCAGCTCCATCCATGTTACTGTGAATGGCAAGACTTTATCTTTTTTATTGCCGAGTAGTATTCCATTATGTACATATACCACATCTTGATACATTCACCTGTTCTGGATATTTAGGTTGTTTCCATATCTTAGCTATTGTAAATAGTGCTGTGATGAGCATAGGAGTGCAGGTTTCCTTTTTAATTAATGTTTTTGGGTTCTTTGGGTAGATTCCTAAGGTGGAATTGCTGGGTCATATGGTAGATCCATTTTTAGTAATTTGAGGATCCTCCTCACAGCTTTCCATAGTGGTTATACCAGATTTCATTCCCACCAGCAATGTTAAAGGATTCCTTTTTCTTCACATCCTCACCAGCATTTCAAAAAGCATTGTTAGCTTTTTTTAATGTGAACCATTGATACTGGTGCGAGGTGACATCTCATTGTGGTTTTGATTTGCATTTCTCTGATTATAAGTGATGTTGAGTTTTTTTCATGTGCCTGTTGGCCATCTGCATTTCCTTCTTGGAGAAGTATCTTTCTAGCTCTTCTGCCCATTTTTGACTGGATTCTTTGTTTTTGTTGTTGTTGTTAAGTTGTGTAAGCTCACTGTAGATCTTTGATATTAGTTCCTTACCAGTTGTGTGGAGTGCAGATATTTTCTCCCAGTCCATAGTGTGTCTCTTCATCTTGGATATAGTCTCCTTTGCTTTGCAGAAACTTTTTAGTTTGATATAGTCCCAACTGTTTATCTTTTCTTTCATATTCTTTGCTTCAGGGGATGTCTTGGAAGGTATTTCTGACATGTAGGTCATGGAATGTATTGCCTATGTTTTCTTCTATGTAGTGCATGGTTTCAGTCTCACATTTACATTTTTTATCCATTTTGAGTGGGGCTTTGCGTATGGTGTAAGGCAGTACCCCGCTTTCGTTCTTCTGCATGTAGAGGCCCAGCACCATTTATTGAAGAGACTATCCTTGTTCCAGGGCACATTTTTTGCTCCTTTGTCATAAAGTAGTTGTCCACATATATGTGAATGCCAGATTTTCTGTTATAGAGGCCCTTTAACATCATCTTGCCCTGATTTTTGCCTTGGATGGATATGAACTTTCTCTTTAGATGTACTATCTTACACATCCTACAAAATGTGTCTTGTTATTTCTCTCTCTTGTCTTCTATCTCCTTCCTTTCCCCTTTCCTCGTATAGCCATTAACTAGCTATGAGTCACTTCTCTGGCTTGTGCCATCATTTCTTCCTGTTACAAACGGTTATAATCACCCTCTACCTCTCAGCACTAGCGTGAGGACTAATGGCTGTGAACTAATAGGTATGAGCATGTCCTAATAAGGCCTTTCAGAGTAGACACTCAAAGCAATTTCCATTTGTATCCCTTTACTCCAGGGTCAGTGGCTCTGCAGATTAAAAAGGTTGCTAAGCCCTGGCTCAGTGATCTTTTCCTATTTCTCAGTTGCATGGGCTTGTGTATCCTCTGAGGTTTCAATATAGGATAGCAGCCCGAGGCAGCGAATGGGCAACCATTACGATGTCTGCCTTTATTTAGAGCTGTTGGTGGCTGAATGCTTTTTGTTAAGTCAGCCAGGAGGCCTATGACCAGCTCATCAGGCCTCCCCTTCGCTGGGATAATAATAATCTGCCATTACCCAATACAGAACTGTGGGTAATAAAATAGAGGCTGGATAAGCCACCTAGTATTAGCAGACCCATACATGGAAAATAAACCCTGCTGTGTGTGAACCTGGAAACCCTCATTTATTTTTGGGAAGGATTTATTTATTTATGCATACAGAACTGGGGTACAGGCCAGAGGTGTAGGGACAGTGAGAGGATTTGCCAGAGACAGAGTGGGGGGCAGAACAGGCAGATTAATGAAGTACATTGCTGAGGGGAGCAATGGACAAGACAGGAGAGGTCTGCTGTGCCATATGGGTCACCTCCCTGGCGGGGGATCAAACTTGTGCTGTCCAGGCTGCAGATAGCTTCACAGTGTTGCACCACCAGGGAGCGCCCAGCCCTCATTCTTTTTAAAAAAGATTAATTTATTTATGCATACAAGAGCTGGGGTGTAGGCCAGAGGTGCAGGGTGCATTGGGGGTGGTGGTTAGATGATTCACCAGAGACGGAGTAGGGAGCAGAACATGCAGATCCACTGAAATACGCTGCTGAGGGAAGCAGCAGGCAAGACAGGAGATGTCTGCTTGGCCATGGGGGGGTCACCTCCCTGGGCGGGGATTGAGCTCGTGCTGTAGAGGCTGATGACAGTTTCATAGTGCTGAGACGTGACCCCCTTGCACCAATGAAGGCCCCCTCATTCATTTTTAGTTTTACTTCAAGCTAGGCCTACAGGGAACATACTTTCAGAACACCAAGCAGCCAGGAGTTCATGTAGAAGCAGCTGGTGGAAAATCTTAAGCGCTTAATGGGGCAAAGGGTTGGAAGGCAGACACAGGAGATGCTAAATGACATGTGCGTGGGCAAAGCCACCAGGAGCGAGGTGAGGTAGGACAGTGGTGAGCAATAGGTCAGTTTCCTCTACCAGGGTACTTTAGCCAACCCCCCGAGAGCGGTTTGCATACACTGCTTGTCCTGCCCTCATCTGCTTTGGGCAGAAGACCCCCTTACCACTCAGGATGTTACCATCCCCCTGAAAGTGAACAGCATCCGTTGCCTGCAAACTTCTGGGCAGCACTGGATTGTCTGTTTGTCCCCAATGCCCATGTCTGAGACCTCCCCAAACCAGGAAGCTGGCCAAATTAGCAAGGTAAATCAACTGCCCTCGAGCCCCATGTTAGTTTTGTGGGCCTTAGCAGTATTTTTGGAGTTCACCTGTCTTTATCTAATCTGCATAGTTGAATGAAAATGGCTCATAGTTCAGTTGAGTTAAAATCTACTGCAGTTTCAAGGCATAGCCTTAGAATGGAATCTGTTCCCTGAAAGGCGAAGAGCAGAAGCCTGAGGTATTGATGCAAAACAGGATAGAGGACATTTTTTCCCTTTTGGTTATTTCTAGTTAAAGTTGGTATAAGACATTGATTTTTTTGATCTTCTTTGAACTGATTATAAATCATTTTTTAAATTGGAAGTGTTTTAAAATGCCATTTACCCACCACAACACTACTGCTTAAAATGTGGATATGTTTATGTTGTCTTTTCTTGTTTTGCACCTGTGAAACTATAAGGTGCTTTCATTTGGCAGTCTAACTTGAGTTATTGTAACTTATTTCATAATACCTAATTATAATTTTGAAAATACGAACACAAATCAAAGGCAGTCTGAGTGGCGGTCCACCCCTGGTGCTCTCAACCTCCTTCTGGAAACGTCGTAGCAGTGGCGGCAGCAGGGAGTCCATGTTGGCCAGCACTGGTTATCAGACCTCAGTGGTGGAGCTGGGTGCTCTCCCTTTGGGAATGTGATGTTGTGATAACCTGAAGTTTTGAATCTTGTATTCTCTGGGGACTCTTTGCAAGAAGACAGACTAGAAAGAAAACCAGAAAGGAAAGTTCGAGAAACCCATTTTTCAGTCAGTTTCCTCATTTCTCGTTATGCCAGGGGCCTGATAGGGAGCAGTTATCACAACATTCTTATGTGATCCTCACTTTCCCAGACACACTAGATGGGCAACCTTCAGAAATTAATCACCCCAGTGCAGGCTGTGGTGAAAGTGCGTGCACTGAGCGTATGACTGTGTGCAAGCGCACGTGTGTATTCAAATCTAGTTTCATAATTCTCTTTTTTTTAAGGTTTATTTTTTTATGCATACAGAACTGGGGTACAGGCCAGAGGTACAGTGGAAGTGAGAGGCTTCACCAGAGAACAGAACAGGCAGAGTGGGGCGCAGAACAGGCAGATCAACAAAGTACACTGCTGAGGGGAACAGCGGGCGTGTCAGGAGAGGTCTCCTGTGCCATGTGGGTCACCTCTGGGGCCGGGGATCAAACGTGCATTGAGGTGGCTGCTGGCGGCTGCGGCTGGCTTGCAGTGCTATGCTTTAACCCACTGTGCCACCAGGGAGGGCCCTCTCAGAATTCTTGCTGTTTCATTTTCCAAAGCCAAAATGCCTTTGGCTTGGTGTTTTTCTTTCAGGATTTGAAACCACTCTATGCTAACCGGTGCCACTATGTCCCCAAGACATCCCAGAAGGAAGCTGAGGAGGTGAGTCAGAATAAAGTTCAATGTGTTACCTTTTGGGAAAGTCTCCAGTTCTGCTTGAAATCCCCCTTTGACTCCTTTCCACAGGCCTGAGGTTTGCTGCTGAGTGTCTTTGGTTCATTTGTTCAGTGGGTCAGAGTAGTACTAATGAGGCCATGGTCTGGAGCCTCACAAGGCCTAATCAGATTTACTTTGTTCTGTGGCCACAGGCTGCCCTCTGACCCCAGCTGGCAGCTCTCAGCACATGTCTTTGATCCCAAGAGGGACAGATGAGAGTTCAGAGGCCACACACAGGGCATGCCTGGCCCCACATCTATTGATGATGCTTCAGTTACCTGGATTCGGTTCTCTGCTAGAAGAAAACCGGGAGCTGAGGTGCGAGTCTGGGACTAAGGAGGCAGAGTCTGAACCTCAAACGCATGAGGGGTCAGGAAGCCAAATGAGGGTAACCAACAACCTAAGTCCTTTGAGACTCTGAGGAGGCTGCACTGTCAGCCTGGCTCAACTTGTGACCCCCCAAGAGGCTAGTCTGATAATACGCAAGAGCAGCTCTTGGTGGGGTGGGGGAATGAGTGTACCTGTCACGCGTATTTCTCCGGTTCTGAGTCATCTTATGCTATGCTAGAGGCTGTGGGCTGTGAGGTGAGGCCTGATTCCAGGGCATTTGGACAGAACTTTTCATTTCAGTACACAGTAATTCCTCCTCAGCCCAGAGATTGCTTTAATATGAAACTCTACTGAAAGCTTCTTAGGAATCTTGACAGTCTGGTACTCTGTCCACCTCAGACCGGCAATGTTCACTTAGGAAAATGATAAACTTGTGGTTTCGGGAACATGTAAAATGGCCACAGCGGCGCAATGTCAAGGCAGCCATTTCACCTCAAATACAATGTCAGTGGCATCCATGAAGTTAGACAAAGCAATGAACCTGTTCCCGAGGCATCAGACTAACAGATTCTATGATGGCTGTGCCATCCACTTACCGCTCCCCTTTTACCCTAATCACAGATCTTCCCTTTTTCTAAGTATTCTCAGATTAAAAGAAATAGAAATGTGTACTTAACAATAGCTCATCAGAAACGCAATGAGCATCTGAAGGACCCAGTATACAAACATTTGCCCACTGACCAGGAATATTCTCTGTAACACAGCACTTCATTACATCCACATGGGGGAGAGAGCTTGGAAAATTTCTTACAAACAAGTGATGGTAAATGGAAACCAGTGTTTTATATATATTGCAAACTCAAGATGTAGAAAGTGTCATGGCTTTTCTCTTGATTTCATTGTAATAACTTTCTGGTGTTAAGTTGGTGACTGTAAAAAAGAAAATATTAATTTTGACTTCCGCAGGTTCACTTGTAACCCTGGTCCCCCTAACCCTATCTTTCCTGTATAAGGTTATAAGTTCCTCAACCAAAAATTCTCCTTCCACGAGGGTTATGAGGAACCTTACCCAGGCAGCTAGAGAGGTACTATCGTACTTCAGAGTGCATGTGTTGGCCCCTCCATCTTCCTCCCCCCCAACCCCCTTGCCCTGAGCTCCCCTCCCCTCGTATCCTTATTTCCTACCATCCATTTACTCTTCTGTCCATCTTTCCATCCATCCTGCTTCCTCTCCATCTTCACCCTTCACAGATGGGGCACTGAGGATGGTGGCTGAGGCTGAACACAAGTCCAGCTACACGGTGACTTGCCTCATGCACCGCTTCAACCGCCCCTGCCCAGCCCAAGCACTCTCATGCGTTGGTGTGTTCATTGCACAGCCATCCTCACCATTTCCATCATTCACTAACGCACTGTTCTAAGCCCAGCGGGCCCGGCCTGCCTTCCAGTGCCAGCTTATCTGTTGGCTGCTGTGTGCCCTCAGGTGAACTGCCCTCATCTCAGCCGTGGATTCTGCACACCTCGCATCCGGGGCAACACCTGCTTCTGCTGTGACCTCTACAACTGTGGCAAGTAAGTGCTGAGTCCCCGGGCACAAAATAATGCTTTGAACACCAGGGTACTAGAAGGACTGGGGAGGGGACACACAGGAGGGACCAGAGCAGCAGAAGACATTGGCCCGTCGATAGATTTCAGCTAACCTAACAGGGGCACTTGCCTTCTCTGGGCCAGGCATCATGCCACATGCTTCAATATGTGATCTCATTTCATTCTCACCTATGATGTATGTAGAACTATTAAGCTCCTGATGAGACACAGAGGAACGATGAGTAGCCCAAGGTCATTCAGAACATGAACGTGGTGGAGGTAGGGTTCAGACCCAGTTCAGCCTACGTCCAGGTTTAACAACATTCAACCAAGTTGCATACTTTCTCTATACCTGGCCCTGTTCTAGACACTAGAGATTCACCAGTAATAAAAGAAAATCTCGTCATCTCATGGGGCTTCTGTTGCATCAGGGAAGATGTCAGCCGACACATGCATATAGACTATGTCAAGTGTTGATCAAAGCACTGAAAAAAAATGAAGCAGGAAAGGTGGATGACGAGTGAGAGGGTGGGGGTGTGTGAGGGGTGTTAGAGCAGCCACAGAAGGCCTCTTTGTGGAGGTAACATTTGTGCAGAGAGCTGAGTGAGGTGAGTGGCCCACCCAGTGTCTCAGGCGTTTGAGGCAGAGGGACAGTAAGTTTAGGGGCACCGAGGCAGGAGCGGGCTTGAAACTTGTTCTGCTGCAACCACGCTGGTTCCCTGCCCTCCAATTGTGAACTATTATTCTTTCTTTCAAGACATACTTATGTGCTAAGAATACCGAGACTACTGCTAAGGAGCTTACGGACTAGTTGAAACAACAAGCATGTGAACATCTGGTTGCAATTTAGTATGATAGGGGTGGTGGGGACGTGCCAGGGGCCCTGCCCTCCAAATGACCGACAGAGTTGTGGGGGGGCGGGGTTGTGGCTGGGGGTGGGAGACAGTGTCAAGCAGGGGGTGATTTGAGAGCTGAGATTTAAAGGTTTAGTAGGGAGTTAGGAGACAAACCAAAACTGGGTGGAGGTGGGGATGGTAAAATGTGAAAGGCTCTGAGCAGCTTTGATGGTAGAGGTAGTTCTCTAGGTGGCAGGAGAGGCGAGTAGAGAGGTCAGATCAGATCATGGAGGACTCATTGGCTTGGGGAACAAATTTGGACTTGACCTGTAAACCTTTGAAGTGTACAAGGTGGAAGGTGGGTTTGAGTGGTTAGAGGTTGGAGGTAGCTCGGAGGCTAGTAGATGAGTCCAGGCCAAAGAGGCTCAGGGGCAGCAGAAAGCAAGGCGCGAGTTTAAGGGAAGTTTCGAAGGTGGCGTTAGCAGGAATGCATGAGCGAGTGGTGCAGAAAACTGAGCAGCTCTGCACGTGAGATGCGTCAGCCGCTCTGCCCTTGGGCAGGCTCAAGGCCTGAGTGCTGAGGGCCCAGAGAGGGGGAGGTAGGCAGGAGTTGGCAGAGGGGTCCTGTATGGAGCTGGACCCAGAGGGGTCACATGGATACAGTTGCCTCCTACGCTTAGTATTTGGGGGCCAGTTTCTCTGCTTTGAGGATCGAGAGCTCTCAGTCTGCTGTTGTTTCCATGCCTTGACTATGGTGAACGGTGCTGTGATAAACACAGGCGTGCAGCTAGCCTTTCGGGTCAATGTTCCTGCATCCTGCAGATAGATACCTAGGCGTGGAATTATTGGATCATATGGGAGATCTATTATTAATATTTTGAGAAACCTCCACACTCTTTTTCATAGAAATATGACTGTAGAATTGAGGCTACCAGGTGGGAGGCTGGGGGTTGGGGCAAAGGGGGAGAGGATGCAGTGGATTATGGTGGAGGATTATGGGTGCCTTGGTGGTGAGTGTCCCGTGGGAACATATATCTGAAGAGGGGTCCCTTGTAACCTCCCTTATAACCCTATAGGGTTATACCCTACAGCGCCATAAACCACTGTTACACCAAAACAAAAACAAAAAAGGAAAATCAAGGAGCTGTCAGACTGGAGCTCAGGGAGGAGGAGCAGAGAACACACTCCAGCCCTTCACCTGCTCAGCCTCATCTCCTTAAAAGTTTTGGCGGCTAAACTGTTTTGAGGTTCCTCAAACTGCTAAACATAGAGCTTCCCTACGACCCAGCAGTCCCACTCCTAGGTATCTACCCAAAAGACACAAAAACACTGACTGAAAAAGATACCTGTACCCCCACATTTATGCTGCTTTATTTACAATTGGAAAAACATGGAAGCAGCCCAAATGCCCAAAAGTGGATGACTGGATTAAAAAGAGGTGGTACATATACACAATGGAATATTACTCAGCAACCAAAAAAGAGGAACACATGTCTTTTGCAGCAACTTGGATGGAGCTGGAAAAGATCATGCTTAGTGAGATAAGCCAGAAAGAGAAAGAAAAATACCGGATGGTTTCACTCATAGCAGGAGTATAATGGACCAGGCGAGAAAATAACAAAAATAATGAACAGCCATATACCAGAGACATTCTGTGGGGGCGGAGTGGGGAATGGGATCAAAAGCGGGGGTGGGGGGAGGGAAATGCACGGGATTATGGTGATGGCACACGGGTGACTTGGTGATGGGAAACCCGCGGGGATTACAATCGAGATGGAAAAAAAATGTACAAAATGATGTAAAAATAAACTATTATAAAATAAAAAAAAGCTAATAAAAAAAGAAAAAAAAAGTTTTGGCGGCTGAGAAAGAAAAACATAAAGACTCAAATGAGGTTTGGGGATTGTCTGGGAGGTTCAATTATTCATGTTGTAATAATAACTAACACTTGCAGAGGACTTCCCTCTTAGCAGCGTGATGGAGAGCTGCACTTTGCAGCACAGGCCTTCCAAAGGAGAGGAAAGGAATGCAACAACGGGTCCTGGGGGATTGGGAGTATCTTGCTATCTTTCCCTTTGCCTCCCCTTACCCCTCTCGCCCCTGCTCTGGCCTTCCCTCTCTTTACCTCCTCCCTGTTCTGGACAGCCTCTCCTGACTTCTCTGGCCTGTTCCCCTCCCCTTTCCCATTTCATCACCTCCTAAGCAGGAGGGTGCTGGCCAGAGCACCAACCCAGCTGCCCCCCACCCCAGGGCTGAGAAGTGATTCCTCGCAGATATACCTTCCTCATAGCAATTAGGTATGTTTCTGGGAATGAACTGAATAAAGTAAATCCTACTTTAAGTTCCATTTAGCTGAGCCCCTAGGTGATTTTTGTTTTAAAGTGGAGACTCAAGCCCAATTTATCCTCCAATCAGTCTGATTTTCGTAATAACTGGCTATCTTACTTTCTTAAAGCAAGTTATGCCAGTATTGTCTTCAAGGCTCATAAGAAATGTTATGAGGAATTGCACTAAACTCAGGGCTCCCTAAAGGCAGAGAGCATGACTAAATCTTATCTTTATCCTCAGGCCCCAGCACAGGACCAGGCCTGAGTAAAGGCCTAAAGGAAAGGGAGTGACATTTGTTAAAATGAAACAGAAAGAACACCTTTTTCACCAAGAAAATTAAATATTGGAGTAGGCTGCTAAGAGAACATCAGTCAAGACCCTCATCCAAGTCTGTCGCAAAGATTCCAAGGGCAGGGCTACTAGAAAAGGATTTACTGAGCTTATCATCACTCATGAAACCACGGCCATGAAACTAGGCCAGAAACCACGGCCATGAAACTTAAGAGGTGATAATCCCATAAGAGAGGGAAGACTTTTTCCTCCACCAGAGACTTCCCGGACAGCACCAAAAAGTCTTAAACTCAAGAGCTAAATGTAGTTAACCACACATGTTCCTCATAATTGCTGCGTTGAGGAAACAGTGCCTCACAGCACTGACCCAGAGACAGGGGAGCAGGCTCACACCTCCTCAGGGGCACATCGCTCCGCCCCACCAACCTCAAGACCACCCGCGTCCCTTTGGCAACAAGCGTTCTGCGGCAGGGAGACTTTAATTCTGCCAAAGACATATTTGTTTTCCTCACACGAAGCTTATTTTTTAATCAAATGCCAGCTCCTCCAGTCCATTTCCTGGAAAGGAGGCCAAGATAAAAAAGTGGGAACAAAAATGTCAGCCCGTCATTCGTACAGTGCTACCGAAACAGAGTTTCCACTGTCCCCTAGAACCCACAGACCTTCTTTGACGTCAGGGGCAGTAAGGTTTTAATACCATAGATTATTCCTTTTAGTCTTGTACAGGAAGGTGGCCTTCTCTGGGACACAACCCCTCAGCATCTGGCTTCTCATAGTATTTCGCTCAGCTTTCGAGAGGTCAAGTCATTATCACTGGTTTTCAGTGTGTAACCAAAAGGAAATGGCGTGGTTTGTGAACTGCTTCAGCTGGTAATAAAATGAAAGCAGATCTCTTACTTTTCATTCACTCCTACCTTTGATAAGCTTTTATGGAGTGCCCACTATGTGCCAGGGACCTCTCTAGAAGAGTGGGCATTGATAAAACCTCATTTGCCCGTAAGGAATTCACTTTACCAGGGGGCGTGTGGGGGCGCTTAGATGGCTTTCCAGAATATGTGCCCCAGGATCAGGGTGAAGGGGTAGCTAGAGGCTGCTTGCTACCATTGCCTGTCCACCAAGACTTGGCAAATAATGCCAGGCCCCGACCGAGCAGCATAAGGCTGTCCTTTATCCAAGGTGTGCTGCCTCTAACACTTTGTGAGATGGGGACTGAAACACAGAGCGGTTATTGCTTTGTCCAGTCACACCCATTGAGTTAGTTGAGAGCAAGGAGCTGAAAGCCGGTATCGGATAATTAATCTCATGAGCAACACAATGATCCATCTTTGAACACAGTTATTCCCTCACTGAGTGTTCATTGATGGCTTATAATAACATTTCTGTCACTGTGCTAGAGGGAGACAAAAAAAAGATGCTAGGACATGACCCTTGCCCTCAGGAGGCTATTTACGCAGACTTCACCTCCGCCTTGGCCTTGGCCTTGGCTGTCTCTTTAGCACCTAGCACAGTATTCAGCAATGAGTAGGAGCTCCATAAAGATTGGATAAAATGAATAACCGAAATATGGACACATACAAAGCACCAGGCTAAGAGGAACAGACTGTCTGAGGCTGTGAGGCTTGTGAGTGGACACTGGGCTCCTTGAAGAGGGCACTAGACGAGTGAATCATGAACAGTGGGAGAGATAAGGACCAGCAGTGTACAGAAGGGGGCTTCTGAGCCAAGGTTTGGAATAAATAGCTAGACTGGCCAGTTTGGGACCCCTGGCAACTCCAGCCTACCTGGAATGTGGATTCCATATTGCAATCGGATTTGGGCCAACTGAAGAATTTGGTAACGGGGAACCATGGAAAGGTTTTGATTAAACAAATGGCTTCATTTAAAACACGTTTTAGGAAGCTTGATCTGCCAGTGGTAGAATCTGTCATGCAGGCTGGGCGTGGGGATGCAAAAGATAGAATTTCAGAGGAAGCTATGGCCCAAGACTGAATCAAATGGTATCATGAATCCCAAACACAAACAAAGCGCATTAATTTGCCAAACCCTAATCCAGATCCAGTATTAACATTATTTTGCTTTGTCACTCAGTAAAAAATTTCTGTTGCTGCTGCAGGTGTCCAAATTGAAACCAAACACATGTTCTCTAAATTAAGTGAATATTCCAGCATGACCCCATTTGTAGCCTGTGTCTTTCAAGCGTCTGTGTCTCCTAAGAATGGCATTCAAAGGTTTGGGTCATGTTGCCAGGGACTGGCGCCTGGAGGGGAAGATGCAACTGCGCGTTTTGGCAGGCCATTCCCCACGTGCTGGAGTGATGCTTCCATGCAACCTCTCACGGAACCCCTGGGCTCAGGAAGGCTGAGAATGGTGTTGAGGGTCAGCAGCAAATAAGTAACAGAGCCAGAATTCAACTCAGCGCGGCCCCAGAGTGCTGGCAGTTAACTGCCTATGTCTGTTCTCAGCCCGCCCTGGCATGTTAGCAGCACACACAGACCTGCTGGGGGAGCCAGAAGCCGACTCTCAAGCCTCTCCTGTGCTCCTGCACCCACACAATCAGCCCCCCCAGGTCTGCCCTTTTCAGGGGTGAGTCTTGTACAGTTGTGCCTTTTGGGGATAGTAAATAAGCTGTGCATCCTCTTTGCCCATCCCCAGACTGAGTGTATGTCCCACCATTCTGTTCCTTGGTAGGAATATTTTTTGCTTTAACTTTGGTCATTGATTTTACTTTATTTCTGTTGTTATTTTTTCAGTTGCAGTAACTTTGGTCAACATATTTGTTCGCATAGTAGAAGTATAGATTCTGTCCCTCAGGTGTTGTTAGTGCACCACACCTATCAGCAAGCCACCTGTACTCTTCCACCATAATCTGTTGTGCTGGGGTGCAGGAGTTTTTAATTAATGTTAATTTATATTAAAAAAAAAAACCCTAAAAAGAAATGTGACTATTCATCACTTGTGATGTGGCTGTGGGACTAAAGGAATAAATTTGTTAAATTCCTTCATTTTAATTAATCTAAGTTTAAATAGTTAAGTGAGACTAGTAGCTACCACATTAGCTCAGATTTAATGACTTCACATCTGACCTAGGAAGCATCAATTAACACTGGGATTAGTGATGGTAACAAGCGTGTCTCTGGCAGGTGGGGGTGCGCTGTGGATAACAAGCAGTCACGGTCTGATTTAGCGAAGCCTTGCTCCGAGAGCCGCATATCTGTGATGTCCCTTACCATGGCTCCTCACCTGCCCACCTATCTTTTTGCTGAGCTGCAAAAGGCTTGGCAGCCTTAGGGATCGCCTGATCCTGGGGGGCTGACCGCATTATTCTTCTCCCTGTCCAGCCGGGTGGAGATCACCGGCGGATACTACGAGTACATCGATGTCAGCAGCTGCCAGGACATCATCCACCTCTACCACCTGCTCTGGTCTGCCACCATCCTCAACATCGTCGGCCTGTTCCTCGGCATCATCACTGCTGCTGTCCTTGGAGGCTTTAAGGATATGGTAAGGAAGGAAGTGACTTTCTGTATCACAGAGACTCCAGACTCCTTCCAGGTAGGGATCAGGCTCGGTGTTTGGGAGGCAATGGGGACCCAGGTTTTAGAGAGAAGAATTAGAAACTTCAAGAATATAATTGCCTTCAAATATTTCCAGTTGAAGGAGCCAGGTAATGTCATCAACCTGCAAATATTTCTTATTAATGTGAGTTGCCTGTGTTCTTTTTTAAAAAAGATATTTATGTGCACAAGAACTGGGGTACAAGCCTGAGGCACAGGGGTGGTGAGAGGATTCACCAGAGTCAGAGTAGGGAGCAGAACAGGCATATGGACTGAAATACACTGCTGAGGGGAGCAGCGAGCAAGACAAGAGAGGTCAGCCATGCCATGTGGGTCAGCTCCCTGGCTGGGTATTGAACTCGTGCTGCAGTGGCTGTGGATAGTTTCATAGTGCTGTGCTTTATCCCTCTGCACCACCAGGGAGGCCTCCTGAGTTGCCTGTGTTCTTTAGATACATCCTGGGGGTGAGTGGAGGTGGGAGAGTGTTCACAGTTCTCCTATTCATGCTGGCTATACAAACATAGCCTCTGTGTGTGTGTGTGTGTGTGAGTGTGTGTGTGTAGGCATGCGAGTGTGCACACGTGCACACACACTTAGTTTCCATCTGGGTAGTTTTTCCCCTTACAGATTTTGGGAGAGATGGATGAAAACATTTTGAAGCTACAGGTAAGAGTAATTACAGTGTCTCCCACTCCCCAACATTCATCCTGGAGTTTTTCCAGAAAGACCATCTGGGCCCTTTTCTTTCCACATTTGAATGACCAGCCCTAGGCTAAGCTGCTTGCCAGATTGTGTCCTTAACAGATTGTGGTCTTCAGTCTCAGGCTCCCTAGCTTTCTTTTCAGCTCTTTCAGTATTGTGAGAGGCTGCAAAGGCTTCTGGGGCTCAGCACCAGTGGCTCCTTCATCAACATAGACCCCTCCTTCCTTTGCTTTTCAAGCGTTTCTGAGCACTTGCTTATTTCATAAGCCTGGGTATCTGAGTATGTGGATAATAGCTTAAGTCCTAAGGTCATCAGCCTGGCTTCATTCTGGAGTAGAATCACCCACGGGGCTTAAAAAAAAAAAAACCCAGATGCTTCAGCTTCTCCTCCAGGGTTGATTAACTTGGTCCAGATGGTCTAGATGGGAGCCAGGATCGAGGTCTGCTGGTTTAAAGGAATGTCCCACAGGTACTCAGGGAAATATTTGATGCCCCAAAGGAGCAGTGTTCCTCTGCCCCCTGGAATGATGCAGGTAGGTAGGCCCTGAGCTGTTTCTGGCCCATTTTAGGTCCCCAAGGAACTGGAACCTGAAAGGCAGTTTGTAAACTGGAGCCTGGACTTTCCAGAGGATGAGGAAAAGGAAGTGAAAGGTGGAACGGGACAGGGGCAAGGAAAAGTCTAAGCAGTTTGGGGTAACCAGTCCCCAGCAAAACCAGGGTGACTGCAAATAGTTTGTGTTCCAGCTGGTGATTCTAAGTCAAGAGAAGCCCCTCCCTGCCAAGTCCAGACCTGTGCTTCTCTTTTCTCTCCCCTCTCTCACATCTGCTTTTCTCGTTCCTGTGCCCCTCCCCCCAGTTGGGGAGCCCAAGCATGAAGGGACAGGGAAGCATCAACACCAAGGGTGCTTGCTGGGCTCCTGTTAGGAGAGTCAGGGCAGAGGTGACAGGTGAAAGCAGCGGCATTGTGTAGACGCTGGGCCGCTGTGCCTGGCAGAGAGGCTCCCTGGGTTGGCAAATTGAGGAGATGGTACAAGAGGATGGGTGTTCGGAGTTCCCTGAGCCATTCCTAGAGCTTTCAGACTCTAGGGCACAGCGGCCGGGCTACCCTGATGCCCAGATGTTGTGAGTGGTGGCTATATGGGAGACTCTATGGGGTTCCTGCGGGGACATGTACGATCATCAGTTGACCATAGATGTATGTATGGATCTGGGCATTTCAAAGTGATCTTAGATTTCTAGGGGAAATGTGTTCATAGTCTGTCCCCCAATAGGTGGCAGCAATAGCCCTCTATCTCTACAAAGTGCTTTTGCCCAATTACTTTCTTCAGTCCTCACCACTAAGACTACCTTGTGAGGTATGCTGCCCCTGCACTTAACAAGGAGGCAGCAGGTCAACAGAGGTCAAGTGATATGTCCAGAGCAAAATAGCCATGCCTGGGACCAGAGCCCAGGTCTGTCAGATGCCAGAACCTTTGTTCTTTCTAGTCCATCTTCACTGCTCCAAACTAGCATTTGGATAACCCTTTGTGCTTTACAAGTGTTCTAACAGACATTACCTCCTTTGTTTAGTTGCTTTAATTAAAAATAAAAAAAGCAAGTTGCCTTCAACTGTTGGGAGATTCTGTAGTGATAAAGGAGGTGGGTGAGGGAAGAACTGAGCATCAGCGGCACAGAAAATCCTGCACCATCAACCAGTTAAGCCTAAATGAAATCCTTCGTCTAGGTGAACATGGGTTTGGTGACCTGTGCTGTGTCTCCTCCCTGAGCAGAATGCCCTGGGGTCTGCAGGGAGGCCTAGGGGTGCTGGCTTATGAAAGGCCTTCCTTGGGGGCGAGGCAGCTCTGAGCTGACATTCTTCCATAGGATGAGCTAGGAGCCACGTTGCCAGGGTTGTGTGATCCTGAAAAGAAAAAAAGAGATGGCTTCACTCCCTGAGCAGAGGTGTTTGATGGAAAGGATCTTGTGGAAATGTGTGATGAAGTGTTTGTCTACCAAATATATACGGACTTGAGATCAACCTTTAGAAAGTGGCTATAACTTGAGATCTTGACATTTTCTCTTAATTGATGTCTGCTTTATGATAAAATTGGGGATACAAGCAGCAAACATCCCGAAGTCGGCAAGTATTGTGTCAGAATAAACTTTGTTGTCCAGGCAAGACTGGTTTACACAATTTCCTGTACTCCTAACCCATTGTTTCACTGAAGCTCAGAATGCCACTGATGAATAATAGGGTGTCACAACTGAAGCCCAAAAATGTTAACAGAAACACATACAAACTCTGATAGACACAAAGGCAGAGGCCAAATTTATTGTAAAATTGGAATTATTGATTTAAAACAAAACCAGACCGTTACTTGGGCACATCTCTTTTGTCCCTTCCTTGCCAAACTCTTCACATCACCTCCCTCTGTACCTTCTTCTTTTCATTTTGTTGCTTTGTCCATTTCCTCTGTATCATCTGCTTTCCACTCTCTTCTCTGTAGTTTTCCTGTGCTCATTTAATCTTTCCTTCGTGTTTCTTGTTTCTTTCTCATAGTCAACTTAATTTCAACAATCACCCTGGGACCCTGACCCCACTGAACACAGACAGTCCCACAGATAATAGTTTACATTGTGAGGTTGTTTCTCCAAGGTTAGGCTTAGTTTGTCTGCATAGAACTGGTTTCATTTTCCAAGAGCAGGAGAGGATGTATTTTTAATTGACAGAAGGCAAAGTGAAAATGACTTCTGGGACTTCCCCAGAAAGGAAACTTCTTAGAATTCTGGTAGAGAGGTAAGGGCATTTTTTAGCACTCTACCTTTGTGAAAGGAGCCAGTCCTTGGCATGATCAAGAGCTCAACTCCTTCTTACATTAGAGAGGTTGACAAGCATTTCTTTCTCTGGCTGTCTGTGAGCTGCATCTGAGTGACTTGAGATTTGTAGCTCTTCAGAAGTCCTAGAGATGTAAACAGTAACGTACTCTAAGGAAGGGAGCAAAGATCTGTGTTGAAACTTGCTGCAAGGGAGTTCTACCCTGCCAGCACCCCAACACGGTTTCCTGTGCCACTGCCAAAGCCTGCCCACACATTTTCATCACTTGAGAGGAAACTTCTGCTTTCCATTACCATGGAGGAGATGCGTGTCAGAAACAAGACACATTGACTTTGCGAACATTACTAGATTACCCGTTGGAATGAAGGCTGTATCAGTAACCCAGAATATGGAAACTAAATTAGTCCACACCTGGACCCACATGGCAGTCCTAAGGTACAAAGCGCAGTGAATAATGAGCAGTGATGGCATCCTTTAGCAGTGTTTTGGCCTCTGTTGTAAGCTGGATCCCCATCTGGCACAAGATTCATTTTAACTGGAAGGGCTGGACACATCACCATGTTGTAAATAGAACACCCTTGTATTAAATTTTTCCTGCATTATTTTGTTTGCTGAAGGAAGATAGGGAGGGAGGGCAGAATCATTCAGTACAGCGCTTGGTCTTCATCATTTCTGTGCACACTAAGGTTTTTGCCTCCAGCCTACACGACTGATGAGAGAAAATACCTTGACATTGGCATGAGGGCTCCTGGACAAGGATGGAATCCACAGACATCCTCACAGAGTCCACAAGCTCCTCGTAATGCATTTCTGCCGCAGCAATAGAAGTGGCTCTGATTTTGTATCTCGGGTCTTATTTCTTTCTTTTTAAAAACGACATAAATGTAACATTTCGACTTTTCAATAGGATTTTATAGGGCTTTTCAAAATAATGAGTTGGGAATGACACAAGAAATGCTTACTAGTTGGAAGAACTTTGGGTACATAATAAAGGGTGAAGCGTGCCCCCTTGCCTTCTAATCACCCTATGTTCCCCAAAGATAGCTACAGTTCATAGTTGGGAATCCTTTCAGATTAATTTCTTTGCTTTTACATACATAGTAAGTGTTTGGGTCCTTGGAGCCGTCTAAGTTTACAGTAAAACTGAGAAGAACATATAGAGATTTCCCATGTACCTTTTGCCCCCACATATAAAGCCTCGCCCGTGATCAACACCCTCCACCAGAATGGTGCATTTGTTACCATGGAGAAACCTAGACTGGCATGTCAAAATCACCAAATGTTCACCACTTCCCTGAGGGCTCACTCTCGGGATTGTGCATCCTAAGGGTCTGGGCAAATATATAATGACCTTATATAATGACCAAATATAGAACGACATCATTATATCATACAGTATCATTTTGCTGCCCCCAAACTCCTCTGTGCTCTGCTTATTCATCCCTTCCCTTAGCCCCAACCATGGCAACCACTAACCTTTTCATTGCCTCCATATTTTTGCTGGTGGCCTCTTTTGTTTAATTTCAATATAATGGTTAATGTTTACATCATCTTGTGCTTTTTTCCATCTCAGTTGTAATTCCTACGGGTCTTTTTTTTTTTTTTTCAATTTAATACATCATAGGTAGCTTTCACTGGCACTAACAACATGTTCCAGACAGCATCATTATTGACAGCTGCCTGGTCTTGCCCAGTATGGACACCCACAGCTTGTTTAACCATTCTCCGATGGATGACATTTGTTTCTAATTTGTGTTTTTCTGCAGAACCCCACTCTCCCGGCTCTGAACTGTTCTGTTGAAAATGCCCATCCAACTGTTTCCTACTACGCGCGTCCTCAAGTGGCGTCCTACAACACGTACTATCACAGCCCTCCTCACCTACCACCATATTCTGCATATGACTTCCAGGTATGTCTTGAGAAAGGAAGAATGCTCAATCACCCCTGCTCCCACTCATGCTCTCTGTTCTCTTCCCAGTTGTGAAGCCTGCCTGGTATGGATGGGGCAGCTGGACTCTCTGTCCCTGATGGCCTTTAGATGCCTGTGGTACCAGCGACTCACTTAAGGACCACATGGGCAGGTGCCAGTGTGAGAGATGAGGAGAGCAGGAAAGACACACGGAGAAGAAACAGAAATGGGTGAAAAGGGGTGGGAAGGAGATGGGATCAAGGTGTCCCAAGTTGCCTTGACCTACACCAGGAGGAATATGGTTTGGCTGGGGAATAGTGGCTTGTTAATACGTTGCCATGACCACAGTGGATTTGCCTCTGCCACAGGAAGAGGCCTGGTCCTGTTTCTTAGCACAGGACATCCTGAGTCACACCAGGCTTTCAAGTCAATCTGTAAGGAGGAAAGAGTCTCCACTTTTTCTCCAGATCTTCTAACCAGGACTACACAGAGAAAATATTTTTATAACCCCTGCTTCTCTTTTCTGCCCTATTATCACATAGGTCAGAAATAGTGTAAATAGTGTTACGAATTTCCACTCTCCCCTTGCCCTTTTTAGCTGAGACTAGGAACAACAGAAAAAAAAAAAAAAAAAAAAAAGGCACTTAACTGAAAGGATTCATTGTGTGCAGATCTTTGCACTAAGCCCTTGCAGAAAACAAATGAGATAGTCCTTTAGGCATTTACAGTGATTGTAAACCCTTCACCACAGAAGACGGGGCCATGCTAAAATCTAGTTAATTCATAATTTGCAGACCAAAGGAAATACCTGTGAAATGACGGAAGCACAATGAAGTCGCTTCTGTTGACAAAGAGTCCATGAATGCTCCAAGGGAACATAAAGGGAGACTGTTGGGGTGCTTGATTAACCAGCCAGCTTAGGAACACAACCTAATTTGGAGACAATCTAGTTTCAGCTTCAGCTCAACAAAATAATTGAAACTGAAATGCTCCATTTAGTTAAAGGCATACTTTTGTTTGGCTGGGGGGGAGGTCTAGAGCGCTATTTGCAATAGAAATATATACTGTGTCAACATGGACTTGTTCACTTTTATAAAATATAGCACTAGAATAAGGTTCTAGAATAATTTGTGAAAGTTTGGAAAAATAATGTTAGAATTTGTTTTAAAGTCTACTAAATTCACACTATCCCTTATACCTGTTTGGCTCTTGCTCCCTCCTTCTTCCTCTTCCCTGGAAACCTTTTATTTACAAGTGTCCACTAATTTTTATGAGTATTTGCTTTGTCTGATTTTCCTCTATGTCAATATCCATTATTTGTCTTTGTCACGCTGACTAAGACTTTTCTCTGTTCAATGAGCACCTTAAGGAGGAACAGTAGTCTCCCTGGTGAGGGCAGTTACAAACTCTAAGATAGGAAGTCCCTGTCTCATATGGAGCCATCTTTCTGTTCCCCGTTTCTTATTCAAATACTACCCCAAGAAGGAAAACAAGATTGATAGTGGCAGTGGTGACTCAGGCTTCTGTTTTCAGTGCAATCAATGTTTACACCATATTCCCATGTGCCAGACACATGGGTGTAGATATTAAATGAGACACGGGCTTTGGCTTGGGGGTGGGCAGGGGACAAACAAGTAAATGGAATATTTTCCAGAGTGTTATAAAACCCAGAAACAAGTTAGGGAACCCAATGAGGGGTTACAAATCAAGTCATAACATACTGGCGGCTCACAGCAGGGAGTTCAGGCATTTGTGACAGATTGTGCTTTTAAAAAATTTTATATGTATATATTTTGTACATCATTCTTCATTTTGTACATTTTTTCATCTCGGTTGTAATCCCCATGGACATCCCACCACCAGTTCACCCATGTACCATCACCATAGTCCCGTGTGTTCTTCCTGCCCCCATTTTGACCCTGTTCCCCTTTCCACCCAAGTAGAATGTCTCTGGTTTATAGTGTTCGTTGATTTTCATTTTTACTTTATTACAACTGCTTTTTTACCCTGATCCCTTACACTTCTGCTATGAGTGAAACCATCTGGTATTTTTCTTTTTCTTTCTGGCTTATTTTCACTAAGCATGATCCCTTTCAGCTCCATCTGTGTTGCCACAAATGGCATGAGTTTATCTTTTTTGATTGCTGAATAGTATACCATTGTGTATATATACAACATATTCTTGATGCAGTCATCTATTTTTGGGCATTTGGGTTGATTCCATATCTTACCGATTCTAAATAATGCAGCAGTAAACACAGTAAAAGCAGTAAACGAGGTGCAGGCATCATTTTGAATTAATGTTTTTTGTGTCCTTTGGGTAAATACCTAGGAGTCGAATTGCTGGGTCATATGGAAGCTCCATTTTTAATAGTTTGCGAAACCTCCAGGCAACTTTCCATAGTGGCTGGACCAGTTTCCATTCCACCATCAGTGTAGGAGGCTTCCTCTTTCTCCACATCATTGCCAGCATTTGTTGTTGCTAGTTTTTTGTAATATGTGCCATTCTCACTGAATGGTATCTCATGGTAGTTTCGATTTGCATTTCCCTTATTACAAGTGATGTTAAACAATTTCTCATATGCTTGTTGGCCATCTGCATTTCCTCTTCTTTGAAGAAGTATCCTTTTAGCACTTGTGCCCATTTTTTTTGATGGGGTTGTTCACTTTATTTTGGTTGAGTTTTATCAGCTCTTTGTATATCTTTGTGATCAGTCCGTTATTATTAGTATTGTGTTCAAGTTTTTGTTTCCCAACAGTGGGATGTCTCTTTCTTTTGTGCAATGTCTCTTTTACTGTACAGAAGCTCCTTAACTTGATGTAGTCCCAGTTGTTTATCCTCTCTAGTTGTTTATCACTATCCTTGACTTGGGTGATATATCTTTAAAGATGTTACTGAGGTGTATATCTTGCAGTGTTTCACCAATATTTTCTTCTATATATTTAATGGTTTCATTTCAGATCTTATGTCTAGTTCTTTAATCCATATTTTGTTTTGTGTATGGTGGATTTAGTAATCTAGCTTCTTTTTTTTTTTTTTTTTTTTTTTTTGCTCATAGTAGCCCAGCTTTCCCAGCACCACTTGTTAAACAAACTTTCTTTGTTCCATTGCATATAATATAATTTGCTCTTTTGTCAAAGATGAACTGTCCATAAAACTGTGGGTTTATATCTGAGTCAATATTTGTTCTATTTCTTTGAAGACTATCATTGAGATTTTTACTGGAATAGTGTTAAATCTGTACATTGCTTTTGGTAGGGTGGCCATTTTAATGATGTTAATTCTTCTGATCCACTAATAGGGTATGTCTTACCATTTCTTTGTATCGTCTTTTATTTCTTTTAACAGTGCTTTATAATTGTCTTTGTATAGGTCTTTTACAGTTTTGTTAAGTTTATTCCCATGTATTTGATTTTTTTGTTTCACTTGTAAAGGGATGGTCTTTTTGACCATCACAATGTATAGGAAGGCTACTGACCTTTGTGTGTTAATTTTATATCCTGCTAATTTACTAAACTGGTTAATTGTTTTGATTATTTTTCTATGGAGTTTCTAGGGATTTACATGTAATTTATCATATCATCTGCAAATAATGATAATTTTTCTACTTCTTTCCCATTTGGATTCCTTATATGCCTTTTTCCTGTTTTATTGCTCAGGCTAGGACTTCCAGGACTATGTTGAAGAGCAGTGGTGATAGTGGACATCCTTTTCTTGCTCCTGATTTTAAAGGAAAGGCTTTCAGCTTTTCTCCATTGAGGATAATATTGGCTGTGGGTTTGTCATATATGGCTTTTATCATGTTGAGGTATGTTCCTTCTGTTCCAAGAATTTCAAGGACCTTTATCATAAATAGATGCTGAAGGCATTTGTCAAATGCCTTCTCTACATCTATTGATTTGTTCATACGGTTTTTTTTGTTTTTGTTTTTGTTTATATGATGGATTACATTAATTGATTTTCAGATGTTGAACTATCCTTGTGCCCCTGGGATAAAACCCACTTGGTTGTGGTATATTATTCTTTAGATGCATTGTTGGATTCTGTTGGCTAAGATTTTATTGAGGATTTTTGCATCAGTTTTCATTAGAGAGATTGGTCTTAAGTTTTCTTTTTTGTGTGTTTTCTTTGTTAGGTTTTGGTATTAGTGTGATGTTGGCTTCATAGAAAGTATTTGGTAGTTTTCCTTCTTTCTCTATGTTTTGAATGAGTTTATGAAGAATAGGCACTTGTTCATTTCTGAATGTTTGGTAAAATTCATTTGTAAGTCCATCTGGTCCCGGGCTTTTGTTCTTGGAAAGGGTTTTTATTACTGCTTCAATTTCACTGCTTTTAATTGGCCCATTTAGTTGTTCTATTTCTTCTTTATCTAGCTTTGGATGATTGTAAAGTTGTAGGAATTTGTCCATCTCTTCTAGGTTGTTGAAATTGTTTGCATATAGTTGTTCATAGTATTCTGATTATTCTTTTGATTTCTGCTGTGTCTGTTGTGATTTCCATCATTTATGATCCTATTTATTTCTGCTTTCTCCAGTTTTTTTTTTTTTCCTTTACTTTTGTTTACTTTTTTGAAGAACCAACTTTTGGTTTTATTGATTTTTTTTTTTTCAGATTGCTTTCCTAACTTCTATTTCATTTATTTCTGCTTTGATTTTTATTATTTCCTTTCTTCTGCTGGCTTTTGGTTTTTTTGTTGTTGTTGTTGTTGTTGTTGTTGTTTTTTTTTTCCAGAGCTTGTATTTTATATATTTTTCTCTTATAACTGCTTTTAATGTGTCCCACAAGTTTTGGAGAGTTGTGTCCTCATTATCATTCTTCTCAAGGTATTTTTTTGAATTTCTTTTCTGATCTCCCCATTGATCCAATGGTCCTCTAGTAGTGTGGGTTTCTAGCTCCGCGAGGTAGGAGGGTGTCTTGCCTTCTTCACATGCTTTATTTCTAATTTGATTCCTTTATGATCAGAGAAAATAGTTGGTATGATTTCAGTCTTAGTGTATCT